TAAACCATCGATTCGAGCAGTACCGGTTACAAGCTCGACATATCTGAATCGTGCACTGAGCCTGCATTTTCCTTCCACCCACTCCTTCTGGACCATTTTCTTCAGGGTTTCACTTTTCCTACAACTTCATCCTTGAATTCATACTGCTGGCATGTTGCAATGTTTCCTTTGTTTTATGTGTTGATATATATTTGTGATGATAATTGATGATTCTGAGCCTAATGAACGCCTAGAAAATTTTAATAAAATTCTGTCTACATAGTATAATCGAAATAGTAGCAATAAGTAGAATAGTAGTATACTAGGTTAAATGGAGTCTTAATAATTGCGTTCCCAAAAAATAAGGTTATTTTGACTTGGCGTTGTAAGTTGGCTTGATGACGCCTTGATGTTTTTAGAAGCCCTTTTATACTCATCCCTGACCCGCGTGAAGCACATGGTGCACCACGGGCCATATGAGGATGGCCGGTTATTCAACAAAAAATTTCAGGCACTCATGTCCTTAGAGGAGACACTCAAAACAAGGCATTCAAATATAGCTGATTTGGGGCATTGGGTTGGGACCAGGATAGAAGAGAAAGGCCAAGAAGAACAAAGGTTGTTAACGTCCTCTCCTAGAGTCCTTTGCCATCATTAAGGCTCAATGCCAATTTCTGAAAGTGGTTGTGTTGCTCACCACTTTAATGATCTATCCTTTCTCTACATGAGCAGCAAATTTCACAATTTCCAAAGTGAGGCTAAATTTCCTCCTAAACACAGAAATCATAAGGCCAACTACAATTTTTCAAAGAGTCATTCTCATCTCACATTAATGGCAAGCAAATATATATTGTTGAAATGCCAAATAGAAAGAGCGAGTCACACAAAAATGAGGCGATAGCCGGGCGCATAGGCCCAGCCACCGCCTCATTTTGTGGGTGGAAGGAATTCCCGAACCGTTGCTGTACCTACCAAAGTCCTCTGGTACTGAAGCCCCACAACTGCAATATCGAAATAGGCTACGACCAGAAGAAGTTGTAGGATTTCACTAGGCGTAGGAAGTCGTTTCAACTCTGTTTTAAAAAGGCTGCTTTTCGCAAAACGGTCGTTATGATTCCTTTGTAAAAAATCACCTCCGTCGTCAGTTTGCCAACAAGAATTTTTCAAGTTTCTTCGAGTTTTTTTTTTCTTCGCAGGACCTCTACCGCCTCAACCCGTGATTATGAATTTGAAGAATATTTAAATGGTTTTCCAGGATGTCGTTACGAGATATACGAACTCGCGATGTTCACCTCAGCGTTGCAGTTGAATTGTGGGAAGGCCGAAGACGGTGTCGCCGAGGGCAATGGCAGTGGTGAGGTGAGAACACTCCGAAATCTTCCATTGTTTCTTGAAGTTATTCCATAGCTACAAAACTTGTTTAAACCACTTTTCTCAGTGCTTTTTGGCCCTTGCGAGTTTTCTGAAGACCACATTTAGCTAGTGGCCTTAGTTTTTTGCATCAAATTTGATAAAGAAGTTGAAAATTTGAATCCTCAAGCGATTGCTTGACAGGAAAGACTGCATTAAGACTTCGCGACATCGTTGGCAACTATGGATCTATAATTTGTTAGCGCTAATTATACGCATAGGGCAGAGTTTGTCTAGTGGTACCACATACGCGTCAACTCGAGTCTCACACCGAATTCACAACGCGTTTGATACCTTCACAGCTGGGATTTGTTTGGGAGGACAAGAACGCTGACTTGATCGCTCACAAGAATGCTGGGTTGTGAACAAAGCTTTCGCCCTAGACGGGCTCGAGCCCGCACCTTTTTGCTTACCGGGCAAATGCGCTAACAATTTCTCTCCCGAGGCACCATTGACCAAATTTTACCTTCTTTTCCTTTGCCAAATGGTGCCCCGGTAGCGTAACTGGTAGCGCACTTGCCCGGTAAGCAAGAGGTGCGGGTTCGAGTCCCGTCTGGGGCGAAAGTTTTGTTCACAACCCAGCATTCTTGTGAAACATTCGCAAGGCGAACTGCGGCCAAAAACAGCAGTTAACAACCAAAACTGAATTTATAACGCGGTTGGCACCTGCATGTTTTGTATGGGGCTGCTGAGATGCGATTACGATCCTGAAAGAAAGTTAAGTGCGTGGCGTATTCCAGAAAGGGAAAAATCGACGCCAAATACTTCAGACTTTTTATTAGGACGCACTGCTGGATTCTCGCGACCACCACAAAAGACTGATATACTCGATATCAATGGGACACCATGAGCAATGGTTGAAATGTTCCCAATCAATCGTTGGCTGCAAAAGAGTTGTCGTGACAATCAATAGGCTATCCGACGGATTGAGATCGAATTTGAATGCCAGCCAGAGAAAACCCTATTGATCACATTGAGTTTTCACCAGGTGACGATGTAAACAATGACGTCAGCAATGATTTTTTCTGCGACTTTCTTCCACACGTGAGGTTCCAAGGAACACGACGACGGGGGAGCTGTCTGAATGCTTTCCAAGCATGATTTACAGCACAAATTCAACGACGGCAGCGTGATGCCAACGAACAGCTGCCCACCTGTCCACCAAATCAACAATATAAGAGATAGACGAGAGATGGTCGTCGATTTTTTGACCCCGGTCAGAAATTATGAGTCTGAGTCGATTGACTGGCGGACGAGCAGGCAGACAACGCGTGTAGAGCGTAACGATTATCGTCCGCGACAGGATACGGTATAATTCCGTGACATGGGAGAACTTAATAGGGTGAAGCGTGCTAGATAATGGACGACCCTCTTCCAAGAACTTTGCAACTTTATCACTCAAAGTTGAAAAAATGAAAAGTAGGAGGTCTTAATCACCTCTTTTGGAATGCGCCACGCATTTGTCTGCTATTCTTCACTGTGTAGCCTTTGACTGTGTGTGTGGAAATTTTACAAATTTTTCCTCTCTGACTAAATATGGTTTTCAATAGTAGACATGCCAGCATAGCTGGCAAACAAGCTTCTGGGAATATGGATGGGTTCTAAGTCCCTTTCCAAACGGTCAAGTGTATAAATAGAGCTTCATACAACCCGAAGAGGAGTAACAGTTCTCCTGTTTACCTCTACAATCAAGAGCTGAACGAAAACATATGTGCAATATTTGAATAATATTTAATGTGGTAGGAATATTATACAATATGTGAGTCCTAAAGTGGAACTGAACTTTAACAAGGAGGTAACTGTGTCCAGCACTATCCATTATACCACCACTAATCAGATCACAAATACAGACGGCGTGATAAAAGTGTGACAAAATTTTGAAAAATGAATGAAAGCTGACTTCATCTTTTCGAAGTCTGCGCGTCCTGAATACTGCCATAAACTCATCATACCCTCGATTTGCGTCAATTGAGGTTTATGAGTCTATGCAGTAACTTAAGGAACTGAGATGCAAGGTCTTGTATTTGAATATTGGAAAGTTGAGCGTCTAACTGTACTCGTGCAGGTACCGGTGTCTAAATTTTGATGTCTTAGGTAAAACGATATCGCTGTCATGGACAAATAGCTGGCTATTTTACATAACCAGACTTAATCCACCTGCAAAAATATTGGACCTGTCCTACCAACTCGGGAGAGAGAGCGCGGAAAGTGCAATCTTTGCTGTGGCTCAATATCCGAAACGTATTCGAACAGAACCCCGTTCCGTCACCAGAAACGCCGTCGAATACGTTCGATATTGAGGCACAGCAAAAGGCATTTCAGAGGTTCACTTCAAGTCTTGGTAAGGACACTTCCCAAATATTTTTGCAGTTTATTTATTTTGATTAATCGCATTTTTCCCGTTGTCACAGACGTTCCAATCGGACATTTAACTCGGAGCCTGTAAACTCACAGTGACCCTTCAGAGTGCAAGATTGTAGATGACGCCTGGCGGCACATTTATAAAAAAAACCCTCTATTTGACACAATTATTATCAAGTGTGCCTTCGCCATAATTTGAATTCGTGTATAATTTGCCAAGAACTCCTTAACACGCTTGGAAAACTCCATTTGTGGGATGTGGAGTAGGATGGCTCAGAGATATTAAGCCAACCGTCGAGTAGGAGCGGTTTGTCCCTGGTTACGAAAACCTTTGCGATTTTTGTGCATCAAAGATGTCCCCCCAACTTATGACCCTCTGTTTTGTCGTAGGGGTTAGAGCATTGGAATAATCTGATCTTCAAGTATCACTCATTATTTTTGGCCATTCCATTCCTTATTCGTTTGCATCGGAAAATAGGGTCCTCAAATTTTTGGAATTGCAGTTCCGTTATCTTTTTTTGAGGTTGCAGTTTGAAAAACTTGTCACCATCTTGGAGCTGTCATTCATAATTATTGCTTTTCCCGCTTTGCCATTCTCAGAACTGTCTTTTAAGTGGGGCTAATCAATAAAAAGAATAGTTATCATAGCTTATATTATGAAGTATTTGTTCATATTTAGTTCCATTCTTTTGATTCCGCATCGATGATCCTCCGATTTTACAATCATGGACTATTGACTTAGATAAGAAACCTTGAAAAATCCACATAGAGCATCGTAGGTATGAGACGATCATAATTAGTATTTATTAATAGTATCTGATAGTACAAAATAGTATTAATAATGCATGTTATTAAACGTTATTATTTTCACCATGTTGTATCCAATAATATCTTAATAATATAGTATCTAATTATTGCAATCAGGATTTTTCGTATTTCATCTTCGCAAGAATTTTCTAGAGGAAGCACAGCCAGTAGGATTAAATAATATATTAATCGAAGTAACATGGGACTGAACAGTTTTCACTGTGCCAATCATAAAAAATGTACTTCCTATTTCGGAAAAGTGGGAAAGCGTCGAGTGCAGACCACACACCACAAGTGACGACGGCCAAGAAGAAAAGGCTTTTTTTCTCTTTTTTCTCGCCCTTCGTCACTTCTTCTGATGCGTGGTCTATAGTCGACGTTCTTCTCGTTTTCCGAGGTAGGGAGGAAGTTCCTCTGAAGAACCTCTTCTTTCAATTAAGAATATGATCGAAAGATTTCAAATTTCTTATGCAGGACTTGGAGGATTCCGTTCCGCCTTCAACATGAACGTTCTGCCACCGTTCCTGGCCGCACTGCAACAAAATCCGTTGGCCTTACAGGTCGGTCTCTTCCTCACAAGCAATTACTAATTAATTATTGTGGTGTTAAATGGACCATTTGAACAAGCCGGGTGATTTTTAATTACTGAGCGGTTTTGCAGCAACAATTGCTTGGATTGACCGGTGGATTGAGCGGTGTTTCACCGGGACCTGACGAAGAGGACGAGATTGAGAACAGCACCACTACTGAACCGGAAGATTTGACGATGAGGTACGGTCTTTTGACGTTGTTTAGGGCCCTTTGTTACAGTTTTATAGGTGGGGGGGGGGTGTGGGAGTGGGAATTGGCCCAGGCAGGCAAGATTGTACTCGCTGTTGTGGAGTGCTCTGAATAGCTTTTACTGTTGTCTGTTGTCCGTGGTGACCACTCGGAAAGTAGTTGTTTGGTTCAGTTTTCGCAAAGATGCAAAATTGGAGGATCATCATGGGGAAGGCGGCACGTCACTGGGCGGTCCGTCATGGTCCTACGAGGAACAGTTCAAACAGGTACGGTAACTCTTTTGACTTATAGGACAATCATTCATGAGATTTCTGTTAGATGCCTAATTTGGGCTAGTGTAACGGAAGAGAACCAAAGGCCATTCTCAACTAATTTATCCCAGATAAATCGGACCTGGCTAAGTTTATCTGGGTAGCCAACTCCGTAGCCAACCTAAGTGTTTCCTACAAAAACCCTGCCACCACAGAAAAATTAAAGTAGACAATTGTAGCAACTAAATAAACAAATTAAAGCATTGCGGAATAACGGTTCTTGTAAGATAGGGAGAGTCTGAGTGCGAGTAGGTTTCGACGGTATCGTGAGGTTCCGCGCTTGTTTCAAATGTGGCACCTCCTCAATGCCCCCGTGTCTTGCGGTAGCGCCTACTCGTTGTTCAATAATTTCTCGGAAAGTTGATCATAATTTGAAATATTGAATTTACCCCTGTGAGTCGAATCCTACGATGCCTTGAATCATGTTCGCCAACCTGCAGATTGTTGTAGAGCTGTTTGTCGGGGTCTGGAATTAGAATCCGATTGCTGAGATGACAGCATCAGTTAGGATTTTTCTAGGACCTAATAAATACTGCCTAGTCGGTATGAGAAGCTCTTCTGCTGTTCTTAATTTGTGCCGGTAATTGAACACTCACCTTTTCAACGGCATTATATCTACAAATGTTGTTTCCTTTATTTTTGAAGGAACCGTTGAAATAGCACCATTGAATCGCGTCTCCCTTTGTGGCTGGGGTGGAGAGCGCGGCGCAGCCCTGTCCTTGTAGCATCATCATCTACAACATCCTTTCTATTGACGTGCACAAT